CAAGAGCAGGTGTGACCACCACGACACCAGGCGTGTTGCTGGGCAATGGCCACTCGAAGTCAGCGTCACGAACGGATATACTACCGACAGCAGCAGCAGAAGTCACAGAAACGTTGGCTGCGCCATTCTCCAATTGCACTTGGCCGTACTCGTCGCTGGAAAGGTACAGATCGATTCGAGCGAACGCAATCCGAGCCTGCGAGAACGCGGAAATGGCGACAGGGAGCTGGATCAACGCAGTTCGGCAGATGTTGACCATGGCGATGAGAGTGAAGGCATCGATAACCGAGATGGTGTCATTGACAGCCACGCAGATTCCAAGTGTAACTCCAGACAGGAACGCCGGAGTGAGGAAGAGCATTACTGTGTTGACGACTTGGTACCGGTGGAACTTGCGCAGCAGCGTAATCTCCTTGGCGCGAATCTTCTCGACGCGGAGTGCGAGCGATTCTTCCCAAGCGTAAAACTTCATGACACGAATCCCTTGCAACGACTCGGACGTGACTTTCACACGTTCGTCGATCACAGTCAGAAGATCGTGCTGAATCCGTGCAATGGTATTGCCCAACTGCACCGATATAATGCTGATAACGATCAAAGCGATAGCTCCACCCGCTGCAGAGTAAAAGTCGAAGAGAAACCCGACGAGTACAACGGAAATGATGAAACTCACGGGTCCGACCACAAGCCACGGACTCTCCATCATCACAGTGAATACACGTTCGGTATCAACACTCATGAGTGTCAACACCTCGCCTGTTGAATACTGTTGACGCGCCACACACGATAGACGTAGGGACTTCTGGTACACCAGATCCATGACCAGCGATCGCATGTTAGCACCCGTTCTAGATGAAACGAAGAACGCGTAGTTGAGTGAGCTCACTGCAACAATTGATGCTACCGCCATGATAGCCACTAGCCAGTATCCGCTGTTAACGTGAAAATTCTCCGGCTAGGTACTGCAGTACTGCCTGAACTACGTACGATTGCATGGACAGCGCGAAAATGTACAACAAGCAGTTGCCAAGCACAACGACTATCTCGCGTTTGAACGTGGCAATAAAAGCAATGGCGACGGGTGAGAGTACGAACGGCAGCTTCTTGTGCGGCTTGTACACCTTGAGAAACCGGGTTCCAAGCGACGTACACGAGTCGCTTTCGCACACTGGCCAGATGTTCTCTTTCTCGAGAACGTGCTTGGCTCCGAGCACGACCAGAGGCTGCAGCCAATGCACCACCATGATAGACAAAATGGATGCAGTGGCGAGAGGGTTCGGCAGCTGACTGAACAGCTTGGTGGTGGTTGGTTTGGCGGTCGACTCGTTCTTATCTTGAAGGCCAAGAGGTGTGGGTGGAGCAGACACGTAATGCTGCTGCTCTTCCATGGTAGTGTTTGGTCTCAATGTGAAAGCTGAGCTTTTGGGGATCTACCGGACAATTGCGAAGTGAGATCAACGAGCCCCGTAGAGATGAACAGACGTGAAGTCACGCAAGATACCGGTCGTCATTGCTGCCCCGGCACATCGCATGGTCAGCTTCAATGGCCTTCCCATCAGAAGATATGAAGTGCCACCATCGAAGCGTTTGATGGACGACGCCACCAAACGACTAATAACTGCAAGATTCACAACAACCACACTAACCGTTCGATATCGCTGGACGAGTGATAAACCTTCACGATTTGTATTCAATGCCCGTATTAGGTTAATACTACTATTAACCCTTTGGCCCAAACAGTGATATCATTGAATGGGGGATTCAATTGACAGTATTATTAATTCAACCAGGTATTAAATAATTGACACTGGTTAATCTGTTTGTTTCTAAAAAAAAAACCTTTTTGATTTTATCTTCTGAAACTGCAATAAATTACACAGTATATAATTATAGAAAGTAATTTATAGAAAATTGCAGAATTGGACATAATGTCCATCTTTGTTTGCGCAATTGAAAAACGTCCACAATTGCGCAAACACCAAACAAGCACTTCAACAACTACCGAAGAGCCAAAAAGGTAGCCCAGTCTGCACCACAAGACTTCGAGACGTTAGAACGCAGCAGCTCGTTCGGACATCTCGTTGCCATTGTTCAATTCGCCAGGTACCAGCGATGACTGAGCAACATCCATACACGGCTGGCCCTCAGACGCCCAAGTCGCAGCACTTCGTCGTCGATGATCCACCCAGGCCGTTCCGAGAGCAAGAGAACCCAATTCGCTCTGCGTCTTTACTCTCCATGGTGAGCATGGCTTGGATGCAGCCGCTGATCTCTCTCGGTGCCAAGCGTCCATTGGAACATGAAGATGTATGGACCATGTGTCCAGAAGATACGTGCGAGACGCTTCGAGTCAAGTTCGAGAAGGAACTCAACACTATCAACAACTTGGAGACTCCACCACCGCTTGGCATTCCGCGAGTGGCTTTGGCACTCGTGAGGACGTTTCCACATCATATCGCCGTCGTGTTTGCAAGTGACCTGCTGTTCATTGCTGGATCTGCACTGATGTCCTTCCTCGTGGAGGCCATTCTGGACTATATCAATGATCGAGACAATATCTTTGGTATCCAGAATGGCTACGTGTTGGTAGTCATGCTATCGTTTGTGGCATTCGTATCCATGATGAGCTTCAACTTCGCCTGGTTTGTCTCGTCACGAATTGGAGTCAATATGCGCTCATTGCTACTTGATGCCGTGTACCGCAAGTCGCTACGTCTCTCAAGTGAGGCTCGTCAGAAATATTCTTCGGGCGAGATCATGACGCTCGTCAGTGTCGACATCGACCGGGTTTTCAACGGAATGATGAATGGGCCGTGGGTTCTCCTGGCACCAATTGGGTTTACAGTCACTGTCGTGTTGATTGGCGTGCTTTTCGACACCGTTGCTGCTGTGGCAGGGCTAGCATTGCTGATTGTAGTGCTTACAACTTCATTCAGGTTGGCTAAGCGGATTGGCCGAGCTCGACGCGAACTGCTACCTGTGACCGAAGAACGTCTTCGAGTGACATCTGAGGCACTTCAGGGCATTCGCGTGACAAAATTTTACGCCTGGAACGAGTCAGTGGCTACTCGAGTGGAGAAAATGCGTCGTGAAGAAGTGAAACGCTATCGTCACTTTCATATTCTACAGATTCTAAACTCGGCGCTACTTTTCCTTACACCCACGTTCCTGGCCGGTGTGACGATCGGAGTATACGTCGTCTATCGTGGCGCATTCTCGGTAATCCAGGCGTTTACATTGATCGCAGTTATCAACGTGAGTCGACAAGGTGTCAACGCGTTCCCGTTAGGAATTGCGGATCTATCCCAATCAGCAGTAGCGTGTCACCGGATCGACGAATTTTTGGACAGCAATGAGCTCAAATCTGACACAGACGCCACTACATGTAGTGAGTCGCAATCTACCGCGAAAGGCAGTATTTCCGTTGAGAAAGCTCAGTTTTGTTGGTCTGCGGCTGGTGTTTCTTCCGATGGCGGCAAGGACGAGAGTTTTACGTGTGATATGGAAGCGACCACAGGCTTCAGCCTTGAGGACATTAACCTGCACGTCGAAGCTGGTTCTCTCGTTATGGTTGTTGGCACCGTTGGATCAGGGAAGTCAAGTTTGCTGCAGGCATTGCTCGGTGAGATGAAAACGGCACGTGGACACGTTGATATCAACGGAGAAATCGCGTATGTGAGTCAGGAAGCGTGGATCCGAAACGCAACTCTGCGTGACAACATCGTGTTTGAGGGGGATTTTGACAGTGAACGCTACGACAAGGTGCTGGCAGCGTCTCAATTGTCTCTGGATTTGGCCGCACTGCCCAGTGGTGATCGTACTGAGATCGGTGAACGCGGTATCAACTTGAGTGGAGGGCAGAAAGCTCGAGTGAGCGTCGCTAGAGCGCTGTATCGCAAGTCTACGGACATTCTGCTACTGGATGATCCATTGAGCGCCGTGGATCCACACGTTGCACATGCCATTTTCGAGCAGTGTATCCTAGGTCTTACCAAACAAAAGACTCGTGTTCTGGTGGTGAACAGCCATTACAACCTGCTGGTTCATGCCGATCACATTTTGGTCATGCAGAACGGACGTGTTGCGAGTGAAGGGAAATACACAGAAATTGTTGCTCGGTTCCCGGAGTTGGCTTCTAAATCGACAGTATGGGTGGAGAATGATGCGGTAAAGGAGACCAAACAGCAAGTATCGACGTCAAATCAAGAGAGCCATTTCGGTTCTTCACCCCCCGTTGCTACTGGCGACGTAAAGACTGAAGATCAATTGATGGAGAAAGAGGATCGCGTAAAAGGAAGAGTGACTGGATATATTTACAAGACTTATCTTGACGAGACTGGCGTCGGTGCATTCGCTGTTGTGGTGATCGTCGTTACGGGGTACACCGTAAGCCAAGGACTTCTCGTTCTAGTGAATTGGTGGCAAGCGTACTGGGCTGACAATATGCGTCACCCCAGTGCATCCTATTCAGCGTCGTGGTTCGGTTTGTGGTACTTCGGGTTCATCGCTCTCGGCGCGGTCGCTACAATCTGCCGTAGCATCACAGTGATGTTATTACTGCTACGGAGCTCCAAGAACCTGCACGACGAACTCTTTCGACGCGTCCTTACCGCACCAGTGAACACGTACTTCGACGTGACACCCGTGGGTCGAATTCTCAACCGCTTCTCGAACGACTTGGACCAAATGGACTCGTTACTCCCACAACAGTGGCAGAACTTTGTACAGAATATCTCACTAAGTGTTGGAGGCTTCATCGTCTGTGCTCTGGCATCCTACTGGATTGGGGTGTCGTACATCCCAGTGATAGCTGCACTTGGTGTGACGGGCGTCTACTTCAAAAAAACTTCTCGTGAAGTGAAGCGCCTCGAGGGAATTTCGCGATCGCCCGTGTACAATCTACTCGGCGAGACGTTGAACGGTGTACAGACCATCCGTGCCTTCAAGATGCAGTCGACATTTGAACAGATGAACGCGAATGCAGTCGATGAGAATGCGTCATTCTTCTTTATCTACTGGGCAGCCGGTCGGTGGTTGGCGGTGCGTCTAGACACTCTCTCTGTTGTGGTCATTTTTGTGGTCTCTCTCTACTTGGTGGCGACGAAAGGACAACTAGGCACTTTGCTGTCGGGTATTTCACTCGTGTACGCGCTCATGTTGACGTCGATGGTCCAGTCTTCGGTGCGTGATGTGGATCGTACAGACAACGCGATGACGAGTGTTGAGCGCATTCTGCACTTTCGAGAAATTCCACAAGAGGAAGACGCACCTGACGCTCCTCCCGTCAACGACACCTTGTGGCCGTCACAAGGTGCTATCAAATTTGACAATGTACAGCTAAAGTATCGACCGGAGTTGCCTCTTGTGCTTCGTGGTGTGAACATGGACATCACTGGTGGTGAGAAGGTGGGGATATGCGGACGCACAGGTGCCGGTAAGAGCTCTCTGACGATCGCGCTCTTCCGTATCTGTGAGTTTGAAAGCGGAACCATCAGCATAGATGGTGTGGATATCCAGAAAGTAAAATTGCATGACCTTCGACGGAGCCTCGCAATCATCCCGCAAGACCCCGTGCTATTCAGTGGCGCGCTGCGGGACAACCTCGATCCGTTTGGCGAATATTCGGATGCTGAAATCTGGACAGTCTTGACGCAGGTTCATCTCGCAGACGCAGTTTCGGCTTGGGGTTCTGGTTTGCAGTTCGTTCTCTCCGAAAAGGGCGACAACTTGTCGGTGGGGCAACGACAACTACTTTGTATTGGTCGGGCGTTGCTCAAGAACAGCAAGATCGTCGTACTGGATGAGGCCACCGCCAACGTGGACACGGCCACCGACGCGCTCATCCAAGCCACCATCCGACAGACGTTCGCCGACAAGACCGTGCTGATCATTGCGCACCGCATCAATACGATCATGCACTGCAACAAGATCGCGGTCATGGACGCCGGCCAGGTGGCTGAGTTCGGGTCACCCGCGGAGCTGTTGGCGCAGTCAGAATCGATCTTCGCATCATTGGCTGAAAGATCTAAGCTGTAGTGTTAAAATAACTGCCCACCGCGTATCCAAGAGACTAATAAACATTGGCATCAAATACTGAAAGCCCTGCTTGCAACATCAACCTCCAATATCCAATTCAAAGCTCTTGGTTTCATCCTGCGGATTTACTTGGCCATTCTCCCAGAATAATTGAATACATTTTCGTTGTCTTCATTGATTACTTTTAAGTAATAATACTGCACTACTACCAACTTACACAGAGCAAAACAATCTTCCAGAAGCAAACCGGAAATCTTGAAGCAATGTTTTTGTGGGCACACCTCATCATCGTGATGGGAAGTACAATTTACAACTTGACACACCTCATCATCGTGATAGGATGACTACTCTATGATAAAGAAGTTGTTTTAACCCTTAACTAGTACCATCACAATCACACTCGAATCCGTAATCGAACTTCCCCGATACGCTGTAATGACAATATATTGCCGATTCCTCACTTTGCAATTATTTTCATCGTGCTCCAGTCAGACGTTGGTCCTGGGCTCGTACTCGAGATTCACCGTGCTTAACCATGGAAGACATCCAGGAGAAACAACATTATGTGTCGGCACCGTCCACTCCTCGAAGTCTCCAAGGCAACGAAAAGAATACGAACAAGTCGGCATCCACCACCAAACTCTTCAGTCAGCTACCGAATCCGCTTGCTACGGCTTCGGTCTTGTCTGTCATGATGGTGCAGTGGCTCCAGCCCCTAGTTGTGCTGGGTGCCAAGCACGTTCTCGAGAAAGAAGACATCTGGCCAATTTGCGAAATCGACTCGTGCGCATCGCTCGGTCCTCGGTTTCGCAAGGTCTATGATCCATACAAGAAGCTGCCCTTCGGGATCTCACCCCTCGCGGTGGCTTTCATTACCACGTTCAAAGGCGAGATCGTCGTTGTACTTGGCAATTGTTTACTGTACGTGTTCGCGCTATCCTTGCAGGCGTACGTGGCACAGGCCGTGCTGCAATTCCTAGCTGGAGAAGAGAATCTATTTCACGTGGAAAATGGCTATGTGTTACTTGGG